TTAAATACTACTTAACATACTGCAGTTGAGGATTCAATTTTTCTGTTATATTCATGATGTATTCTTTTGTTTTATTGCTTTGGATATGTTGTTGGTTGTTAGGTGCCGTCGAGTCGGTTCTGACTCATAGTGACCCCATGTACAACAGAACGAAACACTGCCCAGTCCTGCGCCATCCTCAAAATTGCTGCAGGTCTTCCTTTCTTTCACTGACCCTCTACTTTATCAAGCACGATGTCCTTTTTCAGGGACTGATCCCTCCTGATAACATGTCCAAAGTACATGAGGTGTAGTTTCGCCATCCTTGCTTCTAAGGAGCATTCTCCCAAGACAGATTTGTTCACTCTTTGGGCAGTCCATGGTATATTCAATATTCTTCGCAAACACCATAATTTGAAGCCATCAATTCTTCTTTAGTCTTCCTTATTGATTGTCCAGCTTTTGCATGCATATGAGGCGACTGAAAATACCATGGCGGCTTGGGCCAGGCACACTTTTGTCTTTGTCTTAGTCATCTAGTGCTGTTATAACAGAAATACTACAAGTGGATGGCTTTAACAAAAACAAACTTATTCTCTCACAGTCTAATAGGCTGGAAGTCCGAATTCAGGGTGCCAGTTCCAGGGGAAGGCTTTCTCTCTCTGTAGGCTCTGGAGGAAGGTCCTTGTCATCAATCTTCCCTTGGTCTAGAAGCTTCTCTGCACAGGAACCTCAGGTCCAAAGGACGCACTCTGCTTCCTGTACTGCTTTCTTGGTGGCTTGAGGACCCCTGTCTCTCTTTTGTATCTCAAAAGAGACTGGCTCAAGACACAATCCAGTCTTGTAGATTTGAGTCCTGCCTCATTAAAATAACTGCCACCTATCCCACCTCAGTAACATTATAGAGACAGGATTTACAACACATAGGAAAATCACATCAGATGACAAAATGGTGGACAATCACACAATACTGGGAATCATGGTCTACCGAAATTGATACACATATTTTTGGGGGGACACAATTTAATCCATGGTAGTCTTCAAGGTAACATCTTTGCTTTTTAACACTTTAAAGAGGTCTTTTGCAGCAGATTTGCCCAATGCAATGTGTCTTTTGATTTCTTGACTGCTGCTTCCATGGGTGTTGATTGTGGATCTAAGTAAAATGAAATCCTTGACAACTTCAATCTTCTCTCCATTTATCATGATGCTGCTTATTGGTCCAGTTGTGAGGATTGTTTTATGTTGAGGTGTAATCCATACTGAAGGCTGTAGTCTTTGATCTTCATCAGCGAGTGCTTCAAATCCTCTTCACTTTGGATACAGAATCATGGAATTTTGATTCTAGCTTTGCTGTAGGTATCTTTATTTCTCTGGATCTTAATTTCTCAATTGTAAAATGAGCCATATAAACTTTAAAACTATATAATTTTGATTTATTTAAGTTAAAGATTCAATAATGTTTAAATACCAGCTGCTGAGCAAATGACAGATCTGAAACATTTTATAATAAACACTGATTTAACAGTGACTGCTACCTGGTAAGTGATAACTAAGGTTAGTTTATTCCATCAGAAGGGCATGGTGCCAATGCTCCCTCCCTCCCCCTTCCATTCCTGGCTTGTTCCACGGCCACACATCTTGCCCATGTCCCTTGGCAGCTGTATTGTTCTACTGCTTACAGGGCGAGGAGTGAGGGGGCAGAGTTGAGAAAGTATGAGTAGAACAGGGCGATACACCCAAATTACTAGCAGAAAAACATAAAAGCACGTGGATACCCTAAGTCAGAGACTGGTAATTAATATCACACAAGAGGGGTAGCAAGCAAGGAAAGTTTTATTTCACAGTAGTTGGGGCAGAGAGACCAATCAAAAAACAACACTGAGAAAGCAGGGGTGCTTGACATCAGGACACTAAGCTTCTTGTTCTTTTTTTTTTTTTTTAAATAAAGCCTGGTTTAATGGCTGTGTGCAGTGTAATCTAGTGAATGGAGTTGAATAGAAGGGTCACAGTCTGCATATACTCTTTTTTTAAAAACATTTTATTGTGCTTTAGGTCAAAGTTTACATAGTAAATTAGTTTCCCATTTGATATTCATACACAGATTGTTCTGTGACATTGGCTGCAATCCCCACAATATGTCAGCACTCTCCCCATTTCCACCCTGGGTTCCCCTTTTCCATTCATCTGGTTTCCCTGCCCTTCTTGCCTTCTCATCTTTGCTTTTGGACAAATGTTGCCCTTTTGGTCACAAAGGGTTCTAAGGAGCACATTCCTCATGGGTGTTATTGTTTATTTTACAGGCCTACTATTTGGATGAAAGGTGAACTCCAGGAGTAGGTTCAGTTCCACATTAGAAGGATATCTTAGGGCTACAGTCTTGGTGGTTCCTCTGGTCTCTATCAGACGAGTAAGTTGGGTCTTTTTTATGAATTTGAATTTTGTTCTACATTTTTCTCCCACTCCAACTGGGAAGTTCTATTATGTTCGTGGTCAGAGAAGTCGGTAGCGGTAGCCGGACACCATCTAGTTCTTCTGGTCTCAGGCTAGTGGAGGCTGTGGTTCATAGGGCCATTAGTCCTCTGGACTAATTGCTTCCTTAAGTCTTTGATTTTCTTCACTCTCCTTTGCTTCAGAAGGGAAGAGACCAGTAGTTGTATCTTAGATGGCTGCTTGCAAGCTTTTAGGACCCCAGAAGCTATCTACCACAGTACGATGTAGAACATTATTAAATATATTATGCCAATTGACCTACATATCACCCAAGACTATGGTCCCTAGCCCTCAATTCCAGTATCTCAGTCTCTCGAGGTGTTTGGTTATGTCTAATAAGTTTCCACAGCTATGCCCCCTATGTGCTCTATTATACATATGACTATACATGCAGCACATACAAAAATGTATGTAGAGATATCCACAACCATATCTATGTATGTGCACGGATGTACCCCCATAACGCCCTCCCACACCTATTTAACATACATATCTACCTATGTATCCAGTCATAAATTACTGTTTTGTTATTTCTGTTGTTGCAGAATCATATATGCTATAGTATTTACCGTAGTGGCCCTTTATTCTTGCATACCTCTCAGTGTCTTCCTTTGCCTTAGTTACATTGTGCTGACTTCCTCCACATTGTACACTGCCTTTCCCTTTAACAAAATTCACACCTATCTACTACCTAGTTAGTGATTCTCCCTCCCATCCTTGGTAACCATCAAAGAATGTTTCTGTGTGTAAAACTCTTCTTCATTTTTTGTTAACAGTAGTCTTGTACAGTATTTGTCCTTTTGTGATTGACTTACTTCACTAAGCATAATGTCCTCTAGATTCATCCATGTTGTGAGATGTTTCACAGATTATCATTATTCTTTATTGTTGCACAATATTCCATTGTGTGTATGTACCATAGTTTGTTTATTCATTCATCTGTTGATAGGCACTTAGGTTGTTTCCATCTTTTTGCTATTGTGAACAATGCTGCAATGAACATGGGTGTGCATATGTCTATTCGTGTCATAGCTCTTATTTTTCTAGGATATATACCTAGGAGTGGGATTGCTGGGTCACACTGTATTTCTAGCTTTTTAAGAAAGCACAATACCGTTTTCCATAGTGGTTGTACCATTTTACATTCCCACCAGCAGTGTATAAGAGTTCCAATCTTCCCATAACCTTGCCAGCATTGGCTGTTTTCTATTTTTTTGATCAGTGCCATTATTACTGGGGTGAGATGGTCCGTCTTTGTAGTTTTGATTTGCATTTCTCTAATGGCTAATGATCAAGCATCTATTCATGTGTTTGTTGTCTGCATGCATGTCTTCTTTGGTGAAGTGTCTGTTCATGTCCTTTGTCCATTTTTTAACTGGATTGTTTATCTTTTTGTTGTTGCGGTGTTGAAGTTTTCTATAAATTTTAGAGATCAGATCCTTGCCAGATACGTCACTGCCAAAGAGTTATTCCCAATCTGTAGGTTCTCTTTTTACTTTTTTGGAAAAGTCTTTTGATAAGCATAAGTATTGAACTTTTAGGAAATCCCAGTTATCTAGTTTATCTTCTGCTGTTTGTGCATTTTTAGTTTTGTTTGATAGTCTATTTATCCCATAAATTAGGGCCCCTAACTTTGTCCCTATGTTTTTTCCCATGAACTTTATAGTTATAGGTTTTACATTTAGGTCTTTGATCCATTTTGAATTAGTTTTTGTGTACAGAATGAGGTATGGATCCTGTTTCATTTTTCTGCAAACGGATATCCAGTTTTGCCAGTACCATTTGTTAAAGAGACTATCTCTTCCCCATTTAATGGACTTCAACCCTTTGTCGAAAATCAGTTGTCCATAGGTGGGTAAATTTACTTCTGGGTTCTCAATTCTGTTCCATTGATTTATGACAATAAGCTTCTTGTACCTGTTCCTACCCAAGCAAGTGGCCAGATGAAGACTAAAGATGTACTTTTCATAAGGTTATAGATTCTTGTCCTAGATGGTAGTTTAGGAATACCAATTCTACATAAAAAGGATACCACTATTATTTCTTATGGTAATAAATGTACACACTATTTTGGCTATATAGCTTCTCTGGGGAAAAAATTATTTGGATTTTATACTTAGACAAGGCTCTAAAAACATTTAGGCATATTTATTAAGCTGCCCCCCCAAAAACCATATTCTTTGTATCTAGCATATAATTGGCACTAGAACAGAAAACAAAATTGTGTCACTTTGCATCCATATTTCCAAACAAAAATAGTAATAAGAAAACAAAGCAATGTTACAGAGTTTGTTTTTTTCCCCCTAAAATTATTCAAATTACCAAAACCTTTATATTTCTAAGGTAAAGTGCAAAGATATCAATTAAATGAATAGCTGGAACATGAAATAAATTTATCAATTTCAACAGATCATTATCAAATACTTAATAAAGTAGATGTTTGTTGGGACGAAGATGGACATATATTAGAGAAAAAAAATTAAAGCTTACTTGGCATTAAAAATAAAAGTATTGATGCTACTACTTACCAATGAATTTCTGACATTTAAAACATTCTTCTAGCCATTCTGGAGTCACTATGTGCTTTACTACAGAAATCGCCGTCAGAAACTTCACAGTGCGGGTCACTTTGCTGGCAATAAGATGTGTGCATTTCTGCACAGACTCAGCAACCTCACCGCCAAGAATATAGAGTTTCTAGAAGTTACATAGTTAGAATAGTTAGATCAGAAATGACAGAGTTAAAAATCTACAGAGCCGTATCAATAGTGCATGATGAATCAAGATTAGAATATGAATTCTCCATCACATATAAGCGATCACCTTTAAGAACAAATAAAACAGCCCGAGAATGATGCTACTTGTTTCATAGTAAAGAGTAAATATGCCCAGACTTTCTATACTAAACTGGTATTAATGAGGAACTATCTCTATTTTTAAAAAATGATAGCACAAAAACTGACTGAAAAGACACGAGCATATTAAAAAAGACCTCTTAACAACTAGGCTAAGATTTTAAGGTAGAAAAATTAAATGGTACTAAATTTATAATAGTGGCATTTATAATTTTTTCTTTTCCCTGAAGAAAAAATTAGGAGCAAAGTATATGACATCCAATGTGATACAGGTCAGCTCCCTCCCCCTCAAAAAAACAGAAACAAAACAAAATTCCATTATCCTTTGGGCTGTTATTTCAAAACGTAAATTTTAAATTTTGTTTCCATTTATTATCTAAACAAATAAACAAAACCCCGTTTGACTTAACCCTACTCAAGAAAACTATGGTCTAATCTGAACTTTAAGAAGCACAGTCACTCTTTTATGCTACATGTCTTTATTAAAATGATATTCGAGTAGCTTTGCAAATGTTCATATGACTACAAATATAATTCTATTTATATTTAAGACGTAGTCTACTCATCTTAATCGTATTTTTCTACTAATAAGAATGCAAGTAGTCAAATGGCTGAAGCGCACATGAAAAGATGATCAACATCATTAGTCTTTAGGGAAATGGAAATCAAAACCATGGGACACCACCGCACCCCAACTAAAATAGATAATCAGAAAAACAGAAACTAACAAGTGTTTGGAGCAGGAGAAATTGAAACCCTCGTGCACTGCTTGGTGGGACTATAAAATGGTACAGCCCCGTGGAAAACAGTTTGCTTTACAGCAGTATTCACAAAAGTCAAAAGGTAGAAATCACCTAAATGTCCATCAGCAGATGAATGGGTAAACAAAATGTGGTACATACATACAATGGACTATTACTCAGCCATAAGGAGCAAAGAAGTTCTGTTACATGCTGTAACACGGATGAACACTGAAACATGCTGAGTGAACTAAGTCAGTCACAAAGGGGTGATACAATTTCAGACGATTCCATTTATATGAAATATCTAGGATAGGCAAATGTATAGAGACCAAACTTATTAGTGGTTACTGGGGCCAGGAAGGAGACAGGAGAAAAGGGGAACACTGAGCTTCTGTGATGGGAAAATTTGGAATGGATAATGTTAATCATTGAACAACATGATAAACATAACTAATGTCAATGAATTGTACACATGAAGAAATGCTGAAAAGGCAAATGATTTGTTACATATATATTTACCACAATTAAAAAAATGTACATATATAGATATATATTAAAAAAAAAACAGTTTGGCATGGCAATTCCTCAAAAAGTTAAACACAGAATTACCACATGATCTAGCAATTCCACTCTAAGTATATACCCAAGAGAACTGAAAGCAGGGACTAAAACAGATACTTGTACACCAATGTTCATTGTAGCACTATTCACAAAAGCCAAAGTGTAGGGTAGAAACAGCCCAAGTGTCTGTCCACAGATAAATGGATAAATAAAATGTGGTATATCCATACAATGGAATATTATCCAGCCATAAAGAGAGATAAAGTTCTGATACATGCGATGACATGGATAAACCTGAGTGAAGTAAGTCAGAACAAAAGCACATATTTTATATGGTCCCACTTATATAAAACATCTAGAATAGGCAAATGTATAGAGACCAAATTTATTATTGGTTACTGAGGGCGCTAGGAGGTCGAATGGGAATTATTACTGAAGGGGTACTGACTTTCTGTTTGGGATGTTAAAAACTTTTGGAAATGCATAGCGGTGACAGTTGTACAACATGGAAAATGTAATTACTGTCACTGAGTTGTACACTTAAAAATGGTTAAAATGGCAAATTTTTGGTTAGGCATATTTTATAACAATAAAGTAAAAAAAAAAAAAAAAAGAAACCAAATATCTAAGTATGAAATATAGCACAGAACAAGGTGAGAACGTATTAACAATGTAATGTCTACTTACTGCTATAAATACTACTACAAATACTTTATAAATACACACTATAAAGACTATTTTAACAAGATATCCCTGATTAAATGTTAGTTTAAGAAACTGCTATCCCAAAGCAAATATATAGAGAAAGGTACATTGCTAAAAATTCTTACACAAAGTAGAATAAAAGCCCACCTTAATATACTGCTGAACTTGGACAGGCTCAAATCCAGTGAAAAGCACAAAAGGGGTCAATTCTGGTGTTAACTTTTTAGTGGGAGGTGGTATATCTTCAATTCTATAAGATAAATAAATGATTTTATTATTGACCTAAAATAAAAATTTTCTTTAGAAAACAAAGGAAGATTTTAATAAGCTTAAAGAACTTTCAGTGTGCATGATTTTCCTTAAAGGAAAAGGCAATGAGTTGCCTGTCCTTTCTGTGTGATTCTGCACCATGTATGCAAAGTCACGACCCCTGCCCCCAAAAGACAGTATATCTGAAAGCTCCAAAGGAAGTATTCAATTAACCAGTACTCTTCCTCTTCCTCATCAATCTCCCTCCCAATTAAAATTGAGAGGGGGAAAAAAAAAAAGACATTGAAAAGAAGGCAAATATTAGTCTCTTACATTTCACTTATTTTGCTAACTTAACCATTACTAATAGCTGCTCTTAATTTTTCTATCAAGTTTTTAAAATAACCTTTTATGACTTTGGCCACTCCTTGCTCTGACGCTCAACATCAACATAACTGGTGATATAAACAAGCTAAGGGAGTGTTCCCAGAGCACCCAGTATTTCTTTTTAGAATTCTAGCCTTTTGTCCTCCACCAGACTCTGGGAAAAAAGAAATTGTTTTACTCACGCATATCATTTTAAATTAAACATCTCAATCGTTCATATCTCCTTTGAATCTTTTTAAGTCCTACTTTTCAGCTTATAATTAAATGAGAAAGTCCAGATAAATTTTTTCAAAAGTTTATGGCATTTTGATCATAGCCTTAAACAAATATAATCACATAGTTAGGATTTTACAAAGAATCCGACAATTCAATTTGTTTTCTGGATGCAGGGAATGGAAAGAAGGAAAGATTAGGAGCAGGGGAGAGAAGAAAGATGAAGAAACTGGTAGTTGCAAAAGACTTAAAATTTAGGCAGTTAAACAGTACTGCACCAAACACAGTTTGGAAATAAGACTTATAAAATTAAGAAAAGAAACAAAGGTTCTTTGATCTGTTCCTCTATTTGTCAAGCCTTACTAATTAAATGACAAGCAGGACTGCTTTACTGACTAGCCCTTCCAACCATGTCTTCCCACAGCTGAGTGCACACACGGAGCTGAAGGCAGCATGCAGCCTTCGGTGTGCACACACCTGACTCCAAAAGGGTCCACGCCTCCTTCCCACCACAGTCAGTGTGGTCCTATCCCTCCTCCTCACCACACACTGGCAAACAGGGCAAACCTGAGAGGATTCCTCACCGAGAATATTGTTTCAGCATACCTAAAAATCAGTGGTGTTTAGTCACCTGCAGAGGCCTAGGGTTCCATGGCGTGTGTCACAGCCTGGGGTTCTAGACTTCCCACACCATTTTAACCATAGCAGCTTATGTTCTACATGCTGGGGGTTCTGGGTAAGATTCTACTTGAAGAAAAAGTTTCAATTAAAAAAAAAACAAAGACACTGGCTTGTCATCATCCACCAGTTGTCTCCAGCAATAAAATGAAATATAATCACAATAAAGTTGTGAAGCAAACAAAAAGCAAATCCTTTCAAATTCTAATTACTGTGAAAATTTTAAGAAACGTTCCCCAATTGCTGGCAGTTTTCCAAAAGATAACCACTCATTTAAAAAAAAAAAAAAAAGCCAATTTTTCATACCTGGCTCTTTTGGAAGAAGGCTGGATATTAGTTACTTCATTCTGTTTCACTTTGGGAGGTAATCTTACACCCTGTAATTAAAGTATTATTGTTTATTTAAATCAATAATCTCCCAAGTCATACAGCAGCTTCTACAAGATTTATGTATAAAATAAACTATCTGATCATCTGTAAGAATCAAGCTCGTCACCACACAAAACCAGTACTTGCCTAAAAAGATGGATAAAGCAAGCCAGAACCTGACGTTAACTATTCCAGACAGAACCTCCGTTATCATTTTTCAGTCTTCCTTCATTTACCAAATCCTATCAATTTCTTCAAAATGTCTTCATCCCTTCCTTTCCTTACCCCGCGTTACATATTGATACCTCAACTTTGAACTTTTAAGGACAACTTTATTTTCAAATATTTTGTTTTGTGTCCCAATTTGGAAAACATAATCACTGCAATTACATCCCTCTAAAAAAGATTATTCCTGAAACAGAAATTTCACCTATGAGGTAGCATAAAAGATACGACAATCAGGTCAATAATGTTACTAAGAGAAAAACAAGGTGCTGAAACTCACAACCTACTTCTCAGGCACAGTGTCCATATTCACTAGAAACAGCTGGAGGCCCTGACCTGGGAGCAGAAAGCCATGCCAAGCATGAGAAAGAGAGAAGGAAGGGGACAGTTCTCCCGTTTGGGATCTCTGCCAGTCAGCTTCTCAATTTTGCTCCTATACCTTGTTCACCCTTCCTGCAAACTTTAAACTCAGAGTTTTTCTTTTAAAAGAGACATTTAATTTGTATATGTTTTACTATTTAAAATAACTACCTCTTGATCTTATTAATTTATCTTAACTACCACTTACATTTTCTATAATACTGCTGCCATAACTAGACAACCAAAATAAATATAAGTGTATCTACATAAAATATCTAACATCCATTAACCTTTTCAGACATGGAGAGTCAAGCTTTACAACAACTTGTGGGAAGGTTTATACTTTTTCTTACTACCACTTTTACAAGAAAATCCCTAAACTCTACTTCAGCTAGGTTGGGCTCCTCCACATCACTACAACAAGTCAAGCTTTTTTCCAGTTTTGTCAGAAGGCTTTGTTAATATAATACTCTTTTGAGAAATCTGAACTCTCACGTTTAGGTGAGTGGCAGCAATGACAGAAACAAATGGCAGGATATATAAAAATGGTAAACTGGCTTCCTAGTCTCTTAGATGTTCCACTTTTAACTAAAGACACAAAGAGAAATCGACATCGGGAGCCCCTGAAATGATTTCAGAATATCAGCCATGTGGTTTTGGAAAAACTCTGGTGACTAATTTCCCAACTTGATCTTGGAAGCTACCCTCAAATTTCTTTCATCCAAATGAACCAGGAGAATATTTGCTTTTGCTGATGTGTCAGAGTTGGTCATGTTTTATTAAAATCATAATTACTAGTTTATACTAGGAAAATACATATGACATTATCATTAGTGGTTAAGAGCCTGGCTGCTAACCAAAAGGTCAGCAGTTCGAATCCACCAGTTGTTCCTTAACCTTATGCGGCAGTTCTACTCTGTCCTATAGGGTCACTATAAGTAGGAACCGACTGGATGACAATGGGTTTATACAAACTTAAGCCTTTAAATTACACTACTATCATGGAAATGATAAAAATACAATGAGGATGTGCCATTAAACAGTGAATATTAACAGTAGAGAAATTTAAGGTGAAAAATTAAATACTAATGCACTACTCATTCTACTTTATGGATAAGAATGCAGATAGCCCCTCCTCAAAAGATAGCTCTTATTTGTTAGTTTTGTGAACAGCAACCAATGTTATTCCAACTTCCAGAACAGCCTATCCTGAAAAGTTTATCAGAGACCTCAACCAATGTGCTGTGACATCCAACTTGGGACACTAGGAAAACATGCCCTCCTCCTTAAATTAGTTCTGTTACTGCTTTAGTTCTAATCTGTGGCCTAGAGTGGATAATGGGCCACCTAAATCAACTGATTGCTTCTAATGGTTCTTCTCCAAATTCTTGCCTTGCTAATCCTATGCAAAAACAGAAAGTAGTCTTAGGGTTTTATTCTGTTCTCCTAACCTTTAAGCAAATTACACAGCTCTGTGGAGTTCTTGAGAGAATTGCTAATAAGAGGGAAACTAGACAAGGGATTAAAAAGTATACTCCATCCAACTTTGCCCAAATAATGCTTCCTCACATGTGCATTTCTGACTGACAATATCAATAATTAAGAGGGAAAAAAAAGCAAACCTGGGGTATACTAAACATTTTATGACAGATGAGGAAGATATAGCCTTCATTTTGTTATCATGTTGACAAATTACCAAAAGAATTTTAAACGTAAATATACAATATTCCTACTACATTTTCATAATATAATAATATCCAAAGTAAGGTTATTAACTTGACATACCATCAACAATTCTGCTGACACTTTTAATGGAACTCTCCAAGCATCTAAAGAGAGAAATATGTTATTTTTACAACAACACATTGTTTAAACAGAACAGCTTTTTTGTAAAAGCCTTTTCTGGGCTGGTAATCCTAGACACATAGGTAACAAAGCTGACAACATTTAACAGGGATAAATATAAGTATTATACTTGAGTTGTAAGTTTTTTCCCAGTATAATAAGAAACAGCAAGCTATCCCTATGAAAGCTTGTTATCTATATGTAACACATTATGTATATGAAGTAACAGTAAGAAAAACAATAGCAAACAACAAAGCAAATGGCGTATGCAAATCAATAGCATTCATCATCCCACTGTGTGTTTTCGGGTTAGACTATTTCTAGAATATTGTGTCCAGTTCTGGATATCACACAAGCTGGCCTCTAACAAACCAGTCACGACCAGAGGTGGACAACATGAAGAAAACACATTAAATAAGGTATGGTTGAGGGAACAAGCATGTTTACCCTGGTGGGGAAGAGTAGACATGATGATCATATTTAAATACTTAAAGATGGACATCTATGAAAGAAGGACTGGTAGTCTTTATAGTAGTTCCAGAGTTAAAGTAAGACTAACAAGTACGTTAAAGAGGGCAGATTATGGGTCAAAATGAAGAGCTTTCTCACGATTAAAGCTTTCCAGCAATGAAAAAGTTGTCCTTAAAAGAGAGGATATTAAAGCTGGGCTTGAATGGTCATTTCTGAGTAATGTTCAATTCAGTAAATGCAGGATTAAAATTAAGTGTTGTAACTTACACAATGAGGATGGTTAAAACCTCAAGGAGTTTTGTAATAATTGAAAGGAGAAGTAGCAGGAATGGCATGCACACTACTACCTATCGCATAAGGCATAATGATGTCCACAATGTACCAGCAATTCACCAACGTACTGCAGTGACCAAGAGGAAAAGACATCAATTCTAACGTGAAACAGAAAGAGAGCAGGAAATGTGTTTCACAGCATAGGTGGCATTTTGTATAAACGATATCTGACTTGAGAGACAAGACTCAAAAGGCTTCTAAACGTTCTGTCCATCTCGAATCTATTCAAACAAAAACCTCAAACCAACAAAAGGCCCTGGGCAGAATGGGGAAGAGGAAGAAAGTGTGTGGAAAAAAAAACAAGAAATGAATTAAAAACTGACTGGAAAGCTAAAGCCAAGCTTGTTGGTTGTATATAAAGATGGCGGAAGCACTTTTAATACTTGCAGAAAAAGGGGCCTTTCATATTTTTGGCAAAAGCTCAGTAAAGTTTTACTTCAATATTGCTGCAATGACAATCACTCCAGAAATATCTTTTTATTTAAATACAAAGCATAGCATGTGCAATTTCACTTACCCAGAAGGTTTAGAACTAAATGCTGAGTAGGGGCAAATGGATCCTGCAGAGTGAACGCTGTGTAACGACTATACTGAATCTGCCTTAGTGCTTCAAAGTTTCCGAGAAGAATGTCACCAAGCCACTGGGCATTCACACATGGTATCCTCCATTCTTTGGCTTTCTCATACTTTAACCCAGTTGGTCTTTTTTTATTTTTTGGAAAAAACACATTTATCAAATGTTAGAGTTGTCTACTGTTCAAACAAAAGCCAATGAAAAGTACTTTCTCGTAATAGAAATGACAGGCATATCTTAGCAAAGTCCATAGTATCACTGTCTGGTAATTAAATGTATCCTTCGGTCCTCACACTCAACTATGAGACTACCTGCAAATACAATTTCTCTTAGTCTTATGTTTACCTTACTATTGCCTAATTTCATTAATTTAAATTTCCTTAATTCACATTAACTCATCTAATTTAATTAACGCAAATGTTTTATAGGTATTTCTGCTAACATTACTACGAATACCATTACTATTCTTTTAACAGATTTTTACATTCGTATTCAAATTTCTACCACAAAACCATGCATAATGAGAACTATAGAATTGTTGAAAAAACACAATACTGTGCATAAACTTAAGATTAAATATAGCTTCAAAATCCTGCTTACTCTTTACAGATGAGGACTGTGTTGCTGCGGCACAGATAACCCGTATACTTGGCACCCGCCAGGTAAGCCATTAACTTTAGGTCATCTCTGTCACTATCAACAAATCCAGTCACAGAAATAATCTAAGCCAAAAAAAAAAAAAGAGAACAGCAAACAGGGTGAATAACAAAGACAAATTCAAATCCAAATACTATTTCATTCACTTTTTAGGTAATATACGTATATGTATTCTCCCAGTTGCCATCAAGTAGATTTTGACTCATGGTGACCCCATGTGTCACAGTAAAACTGTGCTCCACAGGGTTTTCAAAGGCTGATTTTTCAGCATATATATATTTGTATATATTCATTCTCTAGCATTAAGGGAGACATTTAGTAGTATCATTACTAAGAATTTCAAGACCAAAATATTTTAATGGTTAAAATGTTACATACATAGCTTTTGTAGGGAGGAAAAAAAACAACAACACAAGGTTATCAAATACGGGAAGAAGACCTATTCTGTATTAATACGACATTGCTAAGATCATCTTAATGAAGTTATTTTGTTAAGCATACAGACAATAGTCAGTTCTTCATTCTCCTCACTGATCCCAATTTTGACAACACTGCAGTCAATCAAATATCTACTAGGCACAGGAAGCTGGGACTGTTAGAGGGGAATAAAAGAAAGACCAATTTGCTATGCTCAAGGCTCATAAACTGGGCCAGACAAAGTACACAGAGAAAACACACTAACTCAGAAGACAATACCAGAGATGTTAAGTCAGCACAGGATTATTTGCCAAAGAAAAATAATTATTAAAAAATAAAACTGAATAATTCTGCCTTACATGCTGTGAGCACGGCTTTCCTCCCGGTGGGAATGCCACTGGAAAATGAAGGGCTCGATGAGGTGGCACCATTTTCTTCTTTTTAAAGACTGTATTTAACCAGTGTGCAGTGATACATCTCTTCCTTTCTCTTATCGCCTATGAAACATGAAATTACAGGTTTGTTCTTTTTTTTTTCTGCTGCAGGATTAAATACAAATTGTGGTTGTATAACTACAACGCCATCTTTATTGGAAGCTCCCAAAATAAAACAAGACCATGAAGTCTAACACTCAGTTTATTAAGGTAACAAACTAAAACAGTGTAATTGGTTAATTTTAATACAGTCTCAAAATTTTATTATCTCTGTATAAATAAGAACCAGTAAAAGAGGAAAAAAAGTAACAAGTTTCATAACATTAAATGTCACTTTAATCGTAACTTGAGGTAACAGTTATAATCATGAAAACTAAAATTCTCCCATAAGAACACAGAAAAGAAAACAAACAAACCAAAAAAAAACAGCTGCTGTCAAGTTGGTTCTGACTCATGATGACACCATGTGTTTCAGAGTAGAACTGCTCTCCATAGGGTTTTCGATGGCTGTAATCTTTTGGAAGTAGACTGCTGGGCCTTCCGTCTGAGGCACCTCTGGGTGGATTCACATGGCCAACCTTTCGGTTAGTACCTGAGTGCTCAACCATCTGTATCACCCAGGGACTCCTTAAGAACACAGAGAGCCCCATATATCACAAGATATAAAAAAATGTAATTGTCTGCCTAAAATAACCATAGGGAAACAAACCTCACAAATATTTCTACATTTTTATTGAAAAGTAGATCCAGTCAATGGCTATGTTCCTAACAGGGGTCTCTTTGAGGTTGTTTATCATGTACACATTAACATCAGTCTGTCTACAAATAAATTTTTAAGAAAAGAGAAAAACAGAACGTCAGGGGATTAAAAACCCGCTTCAAATCCATTGCCGTCAAGTGAGACATAAGGTCTGGGATTCACAAAGGTATCTATCCTACCAAAGAATCAGTGAAAATTAATAAGAAGCAATTTTCCTATTTTGAGAAGTAGAATAAAGTTCTTTCCAAAAACAATAATCACTAGGATCTTAAGATTGCATATTAAAAAATTATATACCTGAGTATTGTGCTCTTTTAAGATCTGTATGAGATGAAACGGACAACTACCTGGGAGATTAGACAGGAACCGTAGGGGGCGGTGAGTTTATGTCAATGAGAGAGGAACAACTCAGAAAAGGAGGGTGAGGATGGCTGCACGACCCACAGAATGTAATCAACGTCACTGAACTGTCCATGTAGAAAGTGCTGAACTGGTGTATGTTCTGCTGTGTATATTCTCAACAAAAAATAAGTTTATAAACATAGACTTTGCTCAGACTCACAGTTGAGACTATTTTGCTTACCTGTGCATACATACTACTGACTTGACTTTCACAAAGAAGGTGTGTGCACCGACTAGTGAACGTGGGATCCACAGCGCCTCCATGTGCCTGAATGATCTAGACGTACAAAACACCCGAAGTTGTCATCAATTTTGAGTACTCAGGAGAATAGTGTAGAATTATAATTTCAAATAAGATGGCTATTAAAAAAATACCCATCACATATATTTTTAGTCTATTTCCCCGAAGTGTAACAAATACTTATCAGTTACCTTTACAGACTATTCTACCTAGCACTATAAAATGAAAATGAACTCCAACCCTCATTAATTTGAATTTACGAGGGGAAAGAGAACAAGAATGGAAAAGTTCTTCTAAAACAGGGTTTCTCAACCTCAACACTACCGACATTTTGGACCAGATAATTCTTTGCTGTGGGGTTGTCCTCTGCACTGTAAGGTATCTGGCAGTGTCCCTGACCCCTACCCACCAGAGGCCAGTTGCACTTCTCCTAATTGTGACAACTAAAAATGTCTTTAAGTACAAAGATGTTTCTCTCTTTCTCTCCCCCTAGTGACTGACTTCTAATGAACAGAATATGGTGGGAGCACAATGTGTAACTTCCAAGACTAAGTCGTAAAGACACTGTGGCTTCTTCTCTGCTCTCCATTTTAGACCAGTTACTCTGAGGGAAGTTGCCATGCCACAGGGGTACTCAAGCAGCACTATGGAGAGCTCAAGGGCCAGGAACTGAGGCCTCCTGACAGGAGTCACATGAGTGAGCCATCTAGGAAGAGGGTCCTCCAGCCCAAGTCGGGCCTTTGATTACTGCAGTCCCAGCCAATACCCTGGCTGCAGCCTCATGAGAGACCCTGAGTCCCGCCCACCCAGCTAAGTCACACCGGGATTTCTGACCCAGATGAGATACTATGAGATAATAAATGATGTTGTCTCAGTCATTTTGGGGGGTAATCTGTTACATGGCAATAGATAACTGATATAGTATATCTCTTCTCAATATGTTAAAATATATCCAGTAATCTATCAGTATCATTTTTCACTTGTGCTATTCCTCCCAGAATTCTGTCTTCCTGCTCCAACTTCGATGGGCTAATCTCTAGCCCTACTGCCACATCTATTTGGGATTTCCCTTCACCTTCATCCTAGGAATTACCTTTGCATCTGTGTCAGATACCCTATTTCTTGGATACTCTGTCTTCCTCTGCTGGCACGGTAGCCTCCCCAGGGTACATGGGAGGTAAATGTTTTGACCTTGCAAGTCTGAAAATATCTTTATTCTACACTCCCATTTGATTGGCAGGCTGGATATATTATTCTAGGCTGGAAATTATTTTCCCTCAGAATTTTGAAGAAATTGCTTGACTATCTTCAAGCTTCCAAGTGCTGTGTCTGAGATGCCTGATACCATCCTGATTCCTGATCGTTTAACGGTCTCCTCTCTATTGAGCTTTAAACATTTCTTTCTCTCAAGTGTTCTGAACTTTCACATTGCCTTAAAATTGCTCTCTTTTCATTCTCTTTCACTCTGGAAACTCATGTCCTTCAGTTGTAAGCTATTTTCTTTCATAATTCTCTTACCTCTGTTTTCTCTGTTCCAAAAATGTTGGATCTCTTAAACTAATCTCTATCTTTTAAAAAACCAACCAAACAAAAAATCTTTTCTCTACTAGCTTTTATATCCTTGACTTCTGTTCTACTTTTTAGGAGTTTCTAAACATTACCTTGTAACACTTCTATTACTGCTACTTCTTTTTTTTTAATTTCTGCAGTTGGATTCTCAAATATGCTTCTTAGCCCTCCCTCCTGCCACTGCCCTAGTTCAGGTTTTAGTAACATCTCTCAGTTGCCAACAACAGTCGTCTTCCTGGCCTCCCTCAAATTCAACATTTCACTATTTACAATGTACACGGGACGATTTTATCCTTCCCTTTTCCTGTATGCTTTAAAGACGAGGGGAAGAAAAGTCCAAACTCTATAATATGGCATATACATAAGGTCTGGGAAGATCTGGCCCCCGCCTTTATCTCTTGTCCCCACACCTCATACTCCACCACTGAGGAGTCAACACTTCACCGCTCTTCCTCAGCAATTTCTTCTGTCACATGCTTTTGCCTGTGCTGCTCCTACACTGGAAAATCCTGCCCCTACCTCTGACTCCCACTGACCCTTTAACATGCTGTTCAGGAATCACCTCTCCCAGGAGACTTTTCCTCAGTCCAATGGGTTAACATCCTTTCTCAGGGCTCTCATAATATCCTGTTCCTCTCTCTATCCCTGCACCCACCATACTGCCTCGTATTTACCTGTCTCTGCTTCTCCTGCTAGTCTACAGTTTTCTCAGTGTTTCTGTTTAGTCATATATCCCCTCGGCCTTGCAGCATGCCTGGCACATAGCAGGGGTTCAAATGCCAGCTAGGTGAATAAATCCCGCAGCTTAACAAAAAATGTACAACATTCTGAATGTACCGTCAACGTGTATTTGAAACGTACTTAAAATCCACTTAAAAAAATTCAACTCAGTTTTGATTTGTGGCATTTTAAGAAAAACACAATGCAAAATAACAGACTTCAGTTCTACAAATGTACTAGAAAAATGTTAAGGTGCATTCCAGCCTAGAGATTCTGGGATTTTCTACTAGCTTTAGAGAAACAGAAATGATTAAGACACATATAAATTGATGGCTTGTCTTATGTCACTGAAAATCTGATATTACTCCCACAGCCCCAGTCATACACAAATAATTAGTACTCTTCAGTATTTCAGAGCTGAAAAGAATCGTAAGAATGACAAAGGCCAACATCCTCATCATACACCTAAGAAAACTAAAGCTGAGAAAAGCAATTTGCCCGAGGACAATGTTAATAATAAAAATGCCCATAATATATCCACAACACATAAATGCATCTCAGTGAGTGCAGCTGAATGGATATAGTGAAGTCTACATTCATAAAGAAAAACCTTCAAATACAACGGCTTATTTCTTCCAGGCACAACCTCACCCTTTTCCAGGTGGCCAGCAACTGTTTATCAGACATCTGCTCTGGATAATCCGCAATCGCAAACACACATCCCAATAAGAAGCCTTCTTCTGGAACTAGAATAGAATGGTATAACAAAAAGAAAATCAAAACCCAAGGATCTACATGCATGAAAATAAACAGTGCATTTTGCTAAGTTAAATCTGAACTGATGAAGTTAATCATTCTTGCCCATGATGTATCCTACAGTGATGTCAGGAAGTTGCTAAAAAGAGACTAGCCTAATTGTCTACGTTAAATAATCATTAACTAATAAAACCAAAATCATTTATTCCTGGCCATTAAATAGTCTGAGTTGGCTCTTGTATTAGCCTTGATGTTCTAGGTAACACTAATATTCACTTTAGTATACGATGTCCCAAAGTACAAAAGTAAGTATAATTATTCCATTACAGTTCCATTCTTTGTTAGGTATGGGATTCACACTCTCCATTTTGTAGTAATTGTTTTGATATGAATCCTAACTCCACCTCCTAATACTCTCAAAGCATTCATGTTTAAGTATAAGTCAGGAGAAAGAAAGGAAAAAATCCACATTACTAACTCTCCACTGTTGGATCGTGCCCAAAAAGCGGCTGCTGCTGTGACTGCTGCTGCTGCTGGTGCTGCTGCTGTGGTTGCTGGGATGGAACCTGATGCTGTAGTGTCTGGGATGTTTGACTCAAGTGCTGTGCTGTTTGGTTCTGCATTTGCTGTTGCTGATGCTGTTGGTGTAGGCGTTGCAACTGCTGCTGCTGTAACTGATGCTGAATTTGCTGCTGCTGTTGCTGCTGTTGTAGCAGGTTCTGTTGCTGCCGCTGTAACTGTGCTAACTGTTGCTGTTGCAGTTGCTGTTGCTGCAGCTTATGTAACTGTTGCTGAAGGGCATGCTGTTGCTGGAATGGCTGTAGCTGTTGCTGAGGGCGATGCAGCTGCTGTTGAGGATGCAACTGTTGCTGTGGAAACTGTAGCTGTTGCTGTGTAAACTGATGCTGATGGACTTGCTGCTGCTGTGAAAACTGATGTGACTGTGGCTGGGGGTACGGTTGTTGAGAAATCTGTTGCTGCTGGAGCTGCATGAGCTGCTGGGGTTGAAGGTGTAAAACTGGGTGGTGCTGCTGCTGCTGCTGCTGCTGCTGCTGCTGCTGCTGCTGTGGGGTCTGATGCTGCTGCTGTAACATGTGTGTCTCTGGAGTTACTTTCACTTGGCTAAACAGCACTGCATTTGCATTTGTATGTCCCTGTTGGCTATGATTCACCTGCTGTTCTAAATTTTTTGTAGGTGCTGAAAGAGACTGTAAGATCTAGAAAACAAAAACAGGCAAAGTCATTATCAATAGTTTCTGAAATGCATTACTATTCTCTTAATCAAGAAAATAATAGTATATTGTACATGTTTCTTTACTATTCAATTAAACGTGAAACTTCAAACGACTGGAAGCTTCATAAACAATACTGTATCTGTCTTTTGTACTTATTAAGCATCACCAACATTAATAAAGCAACTAAATAAATTCAGATTCTAAGACCACCAAAATTTGAAACCTTATGAATAAAATGGATTAGCTAAGGAGTTAAAACTGACAAACACAAAAACACATACAGTCCATGTATTTTACAGGGGGTAGCAAAAAAAAAAAAAAAAAAATCAAAGTACTCTGTCCTACTTATTTCTAGGCCCTTCGGGAGTCTGTGTCTGTGGCACTCCCTTGCGTACAGCCATCTCTTCTCCAACCATCTCCCTTCAGTCACTGACACAGACCTCCCTCTTGACCAAGGAATGCTCTGGGGAATAACAAGCACGGAACGCATCTGGTAGTCACAGACTGGGTCTGTCCCCCAAGTCTTCTATCCACAGCTGTCATTTCCATTTCTTCCTGCCTTATGATCCAGAGCACGATAAAGAAAGTTCCCTGGTGAGAGTCACATATCAGGAATTCCTTCCAAACGAAAACCTGTGGCACAGCTATAAAGCCCGGAGTAGCTCAGACAGCAGCTAACACCATCATAGTTACCACCCTCTCGTCTTCATCTACTATCATCTGCTGTTTGTATTGGCATGTTACTCACAAGATGGACAGAAAAGACATCAAAAGGGGGTTGGTTTAAATGATAAAAATTCCCAACTGAAAAATCATCATTGCGGCTGGTAAATGATTCTTCCTCAAATGCGACTGGGCTCTTTTAGATAGGACAAAGATGTTACAAGCTAGAGAAAATCATACAAGTCAGTCTGCTATACCCGTCTTACTCATTCTGCATCACAATGACAGGGAGTAAGCTGAGTTATGTACATGTTGAGGGGGTGGGAGGGAAAGGCACAGTGAATCAGAAGATGCCCAACGAGGAGAGAATCAAAACCAAAGTTATTTTTATATCCTACACAGCACTGGATAAAACAAAAAGAAATGTGGCAATATGTTATACAATGAATTATGTGTAACATACTCAAATAACAAACATTGGAAGCAATTTCTATGGTCACGGAACTGGTAACAGATTTTGCTAAAGGTCAATCAATACAACTTAGCCCTATTAAAAGCATATTTATCATTTAAACAAAACTCAAGAAATTAAATTTTAACATTACCAAAACTAAACTTAAATCTCAACTTTTTTTTTAACATGTATTTCCACTTAAATAAGCAGACTCCCAAATGCAAATGTTATACTACCTCCAAGGATAATATATATTGGGTTTAGTGATGAAATAACTGACCCTGAAATTGAAGTAAATCAAACTCAAGAGCTTGAGCAAATCTGTCTTTGAAATCCCCTTATAGAAAAGGCACCTTTATAAGAAGATTTTTCAGAAACCCTTCAGCTGAATTTTAAACAGAAAACTGTTACTTAAACAAATATGTAAATAGCAGAGTAACTGTTACTTCTCTATACTTAAAAATTTTTTTAAAAATACCAAGTAAAATAGAAGTGAAAATCCACCCCCACCACACCAAGTAGTACAACAGTACTTGGTATGCTAACAATTGTCTGAAAAAGTGTACATGGGGAAGAGGCTGCGGGTATGGGACACCTGCTTGTACATATGCAGATCGGCTCTGGGCCAATATACAAGCAACTGGTAACCACAGTGGTTGCCTCTTGAGAGGGTAAACGTGAGTTATGGGTGGGAGGAAGTTTAACTTTCATGTCATATCCTTTAGCATCATTTGAATTATTTCTTTCACGAATGTATTATTTTTTAACCATCAGAAGTAAACAGCCCATATAAATTTTACGGGTAATAAGGAAATAAAACACCTGTCTGCCACAATGAACAGGGTCAAGCCAACTGTCTAGCACATACTCCTCCCCTCTCTGCACCTGCCAACCCCAGATTCAAGAGGAGCTCTGAACTGTACGCAGGGCCTGCACCAACAAAGGGATCAGATAGTGGGGGGAGGAATGCCTGGAGTCAGGGCTGTTCCTCTCAGCACTTTCATTCCTCACTGGAGTGGCCAGGGAAACACCAGGCTGGGGTGTCCATGACCCGACAGGGCCAAGGGAGACCTGGGGGTGACAGGAGGGCAACCTAAGAGCTGTTTCTATTACGGGCTTTAGAATGAAACATTCAAAAGGGTCCATGGTGGATGTGGAGATTGAGGACAACAGCCCCGGCTGGGAACGTGGAAGGGACAATCCGCATCTGGAATCAAGAGGGAGCGGGGATAGGAGGTGTAGGTCTGGCTGAGCAGCTGGCACCCGGGAGTAACACCTCTACTTGCCTGATCATTCCCGAACCCTGGCCTTACTGAAAACTTACGTTAGTCCTGAAGAACGTAAGATAGTCAAGAATTTAACTTCTCAATCATGTAATTGTGCCATCCTGTAAACAATAACTTCGCATGAACGTCCAACTTGAATTTATTTTTCCTTCACTACTTTCACATTTCTTATTTAAATCACTTAATACTAAGTGCCACAATATATAAAGCATGATACATACCACATGGCTCCTAACTACTAAACGTGCAATTTAAACAGAATTTTCATGGTTAGCTATGTTTTCCCCCGATCTAATTTTAAACTAGATCTGTATTATATTTCTAACATTTAAAAAATTCATTTTCTTTGCATTTAGCAGCAAAATGTCCTAATATTCTCTTACACTGCTGAAAAACTCTCAGAACACAGCAACTGTTCTCATTACGGATCAAATCCATTCACTTACTAGAAGGAGCCTTCCTATTCTTCCACCTTTAAAGTGCACAGCTGAGTACGTGACAAGTTCCTCTTACAAGGACATCTTACCTACAAGATGATTTCAAAAGCAGACATGTGTCCACACTCTCTGGTGTATTCACTTATTTCCAGTTCATACTAGACTGTTGTTATCACTACATGTGAACAAAAGCTGAGGAACCATGGATTTAAACCAAAAGCCACTGCATTTGAAAAATACAGAATACAGTAGAAATGACCAGCAATTGATCAATGGTGCTTTCTACACTGCAAATAAATGAAGAGCAAAGAATATTTCTATTCTAAGTGGGTGACTTCCCTTCATAATTTTGCAACTAAAGAAAGGAAGAAAATAACATTTCTTGAGCTGTCAGAGGATTTATACATTATTTCATATATTCATGTATTCTCATATCGCCCAACTAAAATAGAGATTTTAGTCCATGAACAAGCACTCCAGGTCTCACATGCCCAGTCGCTCCTGAAGCAGGTCTAACTGGGTGCTCCAGGTCTTCTCCTGGAACTCGCTCACCACTCCCCACTGCAGTCAGTGGCATCACTACTCCTCTAGTCTCTTAGACCAATTATTTCAGAATTATCTTCACCTCTAGCCTATCATTCTTTAGCACCTTCATTTCCTATTTGTTACTAAGTCCTTTTGGCTTTCCAATACTACTTTATAACCATCACTCCTCTGCCTTCTACTAAAACTTCTGTTCCTTTGAAACTATGTTATGTGGTTTTATCACTCACGACCCTTCCTGGGTGCTAATGTACATGGACCAGCTGTATAAGACGCTCAAGCGTTGGAAAGTGTTGGAAACAGGTCTTTCTTTGCACTTCATCTTTTACCTTTAACTTACATGACTTCAATACTCACATGGAAAATCTTTCTGGACATGCCTAGCTTTTAGTTCTTTGACCACCTCGTCTCAATGACCTTCTCTACTCTACTGCGGCCACTAATTCCCAATCACGTCCTAGACCTGTAGTCAGTAGCAAACTCAAATCTACCTACAGGAACCAGGCAGGTAACAAAGTGTGATGGGAAGTAGGAGTAATCAAATATGGAGTGGTGGGAACTGAAGCACACTCAACAGATCTCACTTAAAAAGGGGCAGCTGCTCCTCAGCTCCAAGAACTACTACTTGCAGGACTTCTGGAATGCAAGCTCAATGCTTTATTAGATGATCCACCCCTCAAAGATAGGTCAGAAATTCAACTTTTGCGGAAAATGTCATGATTTTTTTGGCCAAACTTAAAAGTATAAGGCAGAATACAGCCTATGGGTTACTGGTTTGCAACCTCAATTCTCTAAGTTTCATCACCCAAAGCCACCGTACCTCCCAAGTTGCTAATTCAAATATACCAATCTGACCAAATCTGGTTTTCCATCTGGGTTGCCAGTGTAACTATTACCATTATGACTGGTCTTCATCTTCATGGGAATTCCAAGCCCCTGATCCCTCCACTTTCTCCCTATCCAGATTGGATTCCTTGTGTTCATTCTTGTTAATATCACCAACCTAAACTGGTGCTATGTTTGGCGCTCTTGTCTTCCCAATCTCTATATCAACTATTTTAAAAGCTTATCATCTTTCTAAAATCTTCTCTCTCTTCTCCTACACTCTATCCACCTTGCCTCACACTATCTTAACTTTCTTCCTTCTAATATCTAAAGGATGTGTTTTCTTTTACCTTACTCTGCATCCCATCCCCTTCAACTTTCTCAAGAAGCATGTACTATCGATTACTCATTGCTCAACCTCTCGTTAAAAAAGAAAGGAAGTAAAGAAGGTAGAGAGGGAGAGAGGGAGGAAAGTCCACCCCTGATTTACTGTCTTCCACTGGCCTTCCACTGGCCACTATCATACAATGTCTCTTCCCTTTTATAGCTTAACTTCTTGAAAACTGTCTACGTTTCTTGGATCCATTTCATCACCTTCTACAGTAATTTCAATTTGTCTTCAACCTCCACTGCCCTAACAAAACTCTCTTGCCAAGATCAAAGACCTCCATGTTGACAAATATAATGAATACTTTCCAGTTTCACATCTCTGAATCTGACCTATCTGCAGTACTGGACACAATTGATCACTGTCTTCCCAGAAACACTCTTATCCCTGGGCTTCGGCGATAACATATTATCTATTTTTCTCTTGAACTCTTTGGCTCCTTCTTCCGAGATTCATTTATTGACTATCTCTAAATCTTCAACTTTTTTTTCAATTTTCAAATGTATGAGTGTTTGCCATTGATTTCTCTAGATTAGTGATTCTCAAAACGTGATCTATGGCCCATCCTCCTAGCAGACAGCAAACGGATCCAAAAACTGTTAAGTTCTTTTTTAATTCCAACAAGGGAATGACTAACAATTCTGTAGACTTATTTTTATGTGTAACTAAGAACAGCTTATGAACCCTGGTGGCACAATGTTTAAGTGCTTGGCTGCTAACTGAAAGGTTGGCGGTTTGAACCTGTCCAGAGGCTCCACAGGAGAAAAGACCTGGCAATCTGTTCCTCTAAAAGATTACAGTGTAGGAAATCCTATGGGGCCGTTCTACTGTCACATGGGGTGACTGCGTCAGAATTGACTCAAAGGCACACGACAACACAAGAGCAAGTGTGGACAATCTACCGAGTAAAGGGGGGGTTACTAAATTCATAAATTTAACTTAGACTTTTCAGTAAATTTACCAACAAACAATTCAATATTCTATCAAGAAATCTTGCTACTATGCAATGTTTGACAATGCTGCAGAACTCCTAGTATGCAGGCATACAAGCAGATAGAATTCCTATAGGTTTCATAATGCAATTTTGAGTTAGTCACTACTTTTCTGCTTCAAGTCATGCCACTAAATTATAACTAAACATGTTTTACCTTCATCATTTTCAATTTAGTTGGCTATGAATTGGCTAGCCTTACACTGTATAAGGATGCATATTTCAATAAACTAACTTTTTTTGTCTATAATGTTCTTATAGTTAAGCTTTAACGCATGTGTGCACTCAGATTCAAATAGTTATCATCCACATCCACATTATAAACGTGCTTCTATGATGACACTTTATAAACCTCAAGTCCTTCCACTGAAAGTGGGGATATGTGGAATACTGGGCCACCAGTTCAGACTGCTCCTATACTCCATAAAGCTGTTTTTCTAAGACTACGCTGTTACTCAGAAAATAAGAAATATGAAACGAAAGTGTGCCAGAGCAAGGTGAGCCTGCAGACTGATCCTAAGAGCTAGATGGGATGTTCCACTGACTCTCAGATGTCAGGGTTCCTCAGAACTTTGCCCTGAACTCTCTTCTTGCTGTGCCATCTCATCCAGTTCCAAGCTTCAACCAGCATCATTTCAGCTAATTCTGTCTCTAGCAGAGACCTTTAGTATTAGAGCCAAGCACATAGATCCAACTACTTACTAGACATCTCCACTTGGATTTATCAGACACCTCAAACCCAACACGTCTAAAAAGGAACTCAGTTTTAAAACCTGTAGCTCTTCCAATGTCCCTTTTCTCCAAAATGGTACCATCATTCAGTTGCTCAAAACAGAAAGCTGGGTCCTATCCTTAACTCCTTTTTCTCTCAAACCCCATACCAACAGCCTTTTACCTGGTCTCTGCTGCCACTCTTGCCCCTCTACAATACATTCTTGACATAACACCTATCAAATCTCATCTAATCCCTGCTCAAAGCCGCCCAATGGCTTCCTTACAATAAAATTGATAATCCTTACCATGGACTACAAGGCCCTATATGACAAGGCCCCCACGACATCATTCCTAGCACACATTCACCTCATTTACTAAGCTTAAGCCTCCTTAACATTCTTTTGATAGAACACAACAAATTCACTCCCACTTTGGGTCTTTATAGTTGCTGTTCCTTTTGCCTACAACTCTTTGGTCTCAGTTCTCCCTATGAACCCCTTGTCATTTAACTGATTTAAGTCACCTCCTTCATGAGAACTTCTCTGACAACCAAATCCAAAATAGCATTCTCCCCCACCCTATACACACTTTGCTATTATATGACTCTTTCTTTTCTTCAAAACATCTATAACTATCAAGTCATTTTGCTTGTATTTGTCTGATTATTGTCAGTATCTACACCTCAAATGAGAGCAGGAAATTTGTCTTTCTTATTTCCTATTTTATTCCCAATGCCTAGAAAGTGCCTGGAAAACAATAGTCCATATACTACCCTCAACTACCCTTCTTTCTATCTTAAATCGAAAAACACTACTTGAAAATTTTAAGATTCATCTGTATCAACAAGTTCCATGTCATAAACTTAAAACTGAGATTAAGGATTATTTGGTGAATAAATGAATTTATATTATTTATTTACCATGAAGTTCATCATAAGCAAATAAGGAATAACAAAAAAAAAAAAAACCCAAACCAGTTGCCGTCATTTCGATTCTGACTGCTAGCAACCCTACAGGACAGATTAGAAATGCCCCATAGTGTTTCCAAGGAGTGGCTGGTGGATTTGAACTGCCAACCTTTTGGTTAGCAGCTGTTTAACTCTTAACTATTGCACTACCAGAGCTCCAAATAAGGAATAGCTGGTAAACTTCATTCTTCTCTTGGCTGATACTACTAATTTTAGACTAAGAGCGGAAACCCTTTTTCAAGGGAGAGCACTTTATCACTGCTATCCTGGTTCTACTCAGTTGTGTTAGGTCTTCAACTTAAGTGCACATTGCGCACACTGCTATCTTTCTTATGACAGAATTTATTACACTCCAAAATATATGACTATAAAATAGATTCTCATTACTTGACGGACACAAGTAAATGTTGCTTGTAAGTTATTTAGTCTGAAGCAGAAAATAAATTGAAAAAAACTATACCAAAACACATTATAAAATCCAATATATAAATTTTTGCTTTTTAAAGAGTGACTTACATGTGCTACATTTGATGGTCGGTTAATCTGCTGAATGTCAGCATTATTAGTAATATTTCTCAATGTCCGCACAGCTGGACTCCAAGAAGCTATCATTTCTGATCTTTCAGAGCTTTGGAGATTTTGTCCCGAAGCCATTAAAGCACCTCGGGCGTCAGGAGGCAACATGTGCCCTGGGGCCGGTGGGACACTGGCACATAGATTAATCAGTCCAGGCCCCTCTCCCTGAGGTAGTCTGCATTTCGCCGCAGCTAACGGTGGGGCTTCAGCTGGGGTCCAGTTTAAATTTCTCTCTTGTTTTTCAGGTGATGAATCTGAAGAATCATCAAACATTAATTCCCCTTTAGATTTCTCAGTGCTTGATTTGGGTGAAAACTGTTGGTCACCTGAAGGTGATCCTTCTTGAGAGCTGACAGGGCTTGATTTTTCATCTGTACTCCCCTCATTTTGAGAATCCTGTTCCTCATTTTCCACCTCCTCCTCCTCTTCCTCTTCTTCCTCTTCATAAATAATCAGGCGAGGGTGATAAAATGCTTCATCCTTTTTAGTTTTATCAGCTATGGAATCCAGGACCCAGTCAGGTGTCACAATTTTAATGCTTGCTCGCTTAAAAGCATATTCATATTTTTCCTGTGAGTAAAGCACAAACAAAAACAAAGCTGTAAATTTTATTAAATTTCTCAGAATTGTGCATTAAAAAAAAAATTTAGCAGAGGGATGCGTTGGAAAAGTTCAGCAACTGTTATTGCCATTATATACAAAAGAAAAGTTTAATCTCCTTTTAGATATACGACATTGAGCAAAAAAGTTGAAACGAACCATTATCAATGATGACAGGAAATGTCTTCTCTGCCATAGTAGTCCTAAAAGAGTCTGTTTATAAATTATATTTCAAATTCAAAAGTATAGCTAGGGATTTTTTGGAAAATTATAAAATCACTCACTGATAATGTTTACAAAGCTGATCTTCCATGGTAACGGAATTATGTGGTAGAGTACCTTCAATATACACACAAGTGTGGGTGACTTTTCATGGGAATGCTCCCTTAATCAATTATCTAGTATTTACCGAGTACTTTCTATATGCCAAGTAATACTAGGGGTTTAGGAGCCCTGGTGGCATAGTGGTTAACCAAAAGTGCTGGCAGTTCAAATCCACCAGTTGCTCCTTGGAGCAGTTCTACTCTGTCCGGTAGGGTTGCTATGAGTCGGAACCGACTCGACAGCACCCAACAACAACAACTAGGGGTTTGGAGACACAAAGCATGCATCTCTGACCTAGATAGAGGTTCACAATTTAATTCTGAAAAGAAATCAAATATGCAATGAGAATATAATATAAAACCAAGTGTTCGGTGACATACACGGTAACGAGACTGCAAAAGGATTTCACCGTGAGCTACAGCACTCAAGAAAAGACTCACTGCAGGGTAAGATTTGGCTGAGACATGAGTGATGATAATTTGCATAGCAGAAAAAGGGGAGGAGAAAATACAGCACAATGGAAAAAATGTGCATGCAACATATTATAAGCAGTGCTAAAAGGTAAAGGGCTCTTCAACTGGTATGTATAATGTGAAGGTCAAGATGGAATGAATACCAAAGGAAAAAGGAAATAAACGTAAATTTTTAAATAAGAGCAACAGGATAAAGTAGCTCTAAAAAAAAAGATTTTGTAAACATGGTTCAGTTAATTCATACAATCTCACACATCTGCTTCTAAAAGCTCAGTATGTAATAGCAATTGTCTGGCAAACACATGATTAGGGCTGTAAACCTAAACCCATTTCCTGTTGTAGAGACCAAAGGCAATCTTTGTTGTTTATGGTCTGGGTAAGTATTATGTTCCACAGGGCTGTACAGGAAGTAGTAGGATATGGAATTGCTGCTTTTAGTTGTCTCGTTCTTTGTGGAGAATTAGTGTTAAGAATGTGAAGTGCTATAAAGCTGGGAGACTTATTTCTTGGGAAAGAGTAAGAGCTACATAATGCAAGCGATTTCACTTTCTGTTATTTTTGAGTCTGTTTTTTAAAAATATTTTTAAAATACAAGCAAAACTTAGTCATGGAAGAATGCTTATGAATAAAAAGCTAAACAAAAGGAAAATGAACATAATCATAACAATTATACTGACCAGAAATTACCACACTTAACATTTTTAGTATATAGTCTTAATT